ATAGAAAAAAATTTATGAACAAAATGTCAGTAGCACAGGAACCAGCACAAAGAATCAACAACTGGGATCTCCTCTTATTAAAAAGGTTCTGCACTGCAAAAGAAACCACCAACAGAGCTAAGAGACAACCTACAATGTGGGAAAAATTTTTAGCAGGTGTACCTCAGACAAAGGACTACTATCTAGAATATATAAAAGATCAAATCCCCCAAACTTAAAGACCCAATTCAAAAATGGGCATCTGAAAGGAACAGACATTTCTCAGACAAAGAAGTAAAAGCAGCAAAGAAATATATGAAAAAATGTTCAATATCACCGGTCTTTCTAGAGATGCAGATGAAAACGACACTGAGATTCCACCTCACCCCAGAAAGAATGGCTGCTATCATGAAATCAACCAATAACAAACACTGGTGGCAGTCGGGAGAGAAAGGAACCCTTCTCCATTGTTGGTGGGTGTGCAGACTGGTGCAACCACTATGGAAATCAGTATGAATATACCTCAAAGAACTAGAAATAGAGGTCCCATTTGACCCAGGTATTTCACTGTTGAGTATCTTCCCAAAAGAATTAAAAGAATCATACCACAGCAATATCTGTGCACTCATGTTTATAGCGACACAGTTTGGAATAGAGAAAGCTTGGAAACAGCCCAAATATCCATCAACTGGAAACTGGATAAAGAACATGTGAGGTTTTTAAAAATAAAATGGAGTACTACTCAGCCATAAAGAAGGAGAAACTACAGACATTTATATCTAAATAGATGCATATTGAGGCCATATTTTTAAGTGAAATAAATAGGACACACATGTGTAAATACTAAATAGTATCTCTAGTTTGAGACACTGAAAGTGTAAATAAGGATTAAAATTTTTAATATGAATAACTGATAATTTGAAATAAGACCAAAAGATCCAAAAGTTTAGGGGAAATTGGAGGGGATAGGGAAGGGAAAGAAGGGAATGGAAAAATTATGAGAAAAGAAAAAATGGAAACAAAGTGTATGTAAATAGGCAAGGGAGGAGGGGGTGAAGATCACACATGTATAGGTACAACTACCCAATGATTAATGTAAACATACTGTATTCCTAAAATACAACAATAAAAGAATTTAAGAAAAATAAAGAAACTAACAGACCTAGAGATATATGAAATGAATTTCAGATCAGTTTTGTAAGGAGGTAAGTGAGAAGCTTATATTGATGGATATTTTAATATATTGTGGAAAACTTGCCTCAGTAGAATATTTTGTTCCCCAGGTCTAGTGTTGATGATGAAATATGAGTTCCCTCATTCTGTGGTTCATAGAGTGAAGACATTAGAGTGTTTCTGGTGCTCTTGAAATGGCATGGGATTCAGAAGCAAGAAACACTGGTTCTGACATCAACTTCTAGCTAGGTCTGTGATGGAATCTACATCACATTCTCCCCCCAGTACACTGTGAGGGTAAGCAGCTTTGTGGACTCACAGGGTCCTAATGGCTGCCTTGTGGTTATTAGCATTTAACTTTCTATACTGGATCAATATATTATATTTAGGTGATTTGGAAAATGGTAACCTAAAATTTTAAATTATGAGGTTTACATCAAAACCAGCATTTCACACATGCACCTTTTAAAGGCATAATAAGGTTATATTCTAGATAACGTAATGGTTTCTTGGTACCCATAAGTAGTCAAGTCATAGATAGTTCAGAGATGAGAATGTTACATTTGGGAATTACATTTACATTTAAAAACATTTTGTATTAAGCCAAAATACAGACCTACTAAGTTTGGCATATTCATTGAGCTATCTTTAGTGTTTCTTCTAAAAAACAGGTGACATTTGTAACAACGATAAAAATTTCTATACAGAATCTACTTCCTCAGTCTTATCTAGTTCCATTTAAAAAAATATGTTCTATTACATTACATAGTTAAGTCAAAATCAATTACCACTCTGAAAACTTGCTTTACCCTAAGTTCTGACTAGATAAAGCAGTCCAAGTTTTACTATGGACTGTTTCTATAAAACTGCCATTGCTTCCAGTTTTGTTTTGTTTTGTTTTTTTAAGGAATAGAATATACTTTCACAAATTTCCATAATGTGTCTTAAGAAAAGGAGGCACCACCATAATTATGAGATTGCTGAGGTAGTGTTTGGAATTCTCCATATGAGCCAATCAATATAAGGAAATGTACATATATTGTTAGTGTTGTAAACAGTGCAGCCTGAAGCCTGAGTCTATCCAGAATGGATGTAACAAATTTTGACATCATGTTACAGATAACTAAGCATTGAAAAATAAACCAAAGAACCGCAGTATATTCTACCTTTAACTTTTTGTAAAACATGTTTTGTGGATACTTTCAGTTTTACCATAAGGCTGATATATTTCAATATTTTGAAAATATCAGTATTAATTTTGAGTTGGCAGAGGTAACCTAACCAACTACCTTTGGTATTAAGAGATATTTTTCAATAAAATTATTGAAATGCAATCCTTTGCTGAGTAGTTTTGTTTCTCTTCTGATTTAATTATTTTAGCAATGAGATACAGTGATAAAAGGATTTCTCAGTATATTTAAATTTTACACTAAAGATGGATGGAAGAAGAAACAACATTTTTAATAATTTATTAATTGACCTTTTACTTCTAATTTTTTTAGACATAAGTATGTTTAATGTGCATTAAAAAGGTGTGTCCATGCATGACTAATTACTTATTATTTAGGTTGACTACTGCTACGGATGCTATCCTACAAATTTACCCTTAGATTCTGCCTACTTGAAGTTTTGTGCAAACCCTGTCACCTAATTAAATAGCATTTTAGTAGGGTGGTCAGTCAACCTAATGACAGCATTAGGTTAGTATGCTTGGATCAAATGGTAATTATTAATGAACAAAAATAATTATGGTTCTGAACTATTCGTGTTTAATTGAAATTAACAAGATATAAAGTAGTTATTACAAGAAATTACTGGCCAAAATAAAACTGTTTTGCACTTGATAAAAAGGCATAACTGAATTACACAAAACCAAAGAATGGAGATTTCAAAAATTTTAATCATTTACTGTTTTTAGATCTAAAAGCAATGTATATTGTATAAAAGAGAGTATTTATTAGTTACTTTGAATGAACTAAATTTATGTAATCTTATCTCTATAAATGTTTTATCATTAGACAAAGCTGTGAATGACAGCCTATTTTGTTCTCAGATGTATACACATCTCTACTCCCAGGTAAAAACAAGATGAGTATTAACCTAAGAAAATAGTCTTTAATTTAACCAGTAATAAACTTATTATTGAAAACATATTACATGTTAGCATTTAAATAAACCTTAACTCTTTATTTATATTTTGAGTTTTGTACATAAGAGAAACCATATGATATGTAATCTTGTGTGTCTAATTTATTTTACTTAACATTATGGTCTCAAGGTACATCTATGTCCCTACAAATGACTCACATTTGTCCTTCTTTATGGCAGAGGCTTACAATTCAGTTTCTTGAGCAATTAAAAGCCAAATACCAGAAAACACAAAAACTTCTTTTGATGAAATGCCCAACCATTGTTTTTAGTCTAAGTTTTGTAAGTTTAACGAAGGGCTGTTTTAACATCTTATGAAAACCTTGTTGCTTTAGATATAGAAGGCTCTTTGACTAACTTTCTAATTGCATTCAACTTAATTCCATGAAATGATTTTTTAAAAACTAATATTTACTGAGGTGGAGCACAAAGGCACCCTAAGGAAAAATTGGAGGAACCACATATTCTGGAGAAACTGAAGCAAATTGGTTTAGGCAGGTGTTTTTAGCCTCAGAGGGAGTTTTGTCCAGTAGTCCAGAAAGTATAAGGGGTCCTCCAGGGAAAAGTTTTCATGCTTTTTAATATATACAATTATAAATTTGAATATAACTCTTAGCAACTTGATAAGGAAAGGAATATTAAACCTTTCTACTTTTATACATTTATAATTTATGAAGACACATTTAATAGACAAAATATATTCATTTTCTGTAAATCCTAGCACTGTATTAGCTACAGGAGCTGGTGGCTCAGACTGGGAGGACACTATCTAGTTCTTCATGCCTCAGCTGGAGCATCTGGTACCCAGAAGCTCAGAATGCTACAAAAGGCAGAAACTAAGAATGAGGAGGACTGCAGTATACATGGAGGAGGGGCTAGGACATGGGACCCTAAGAAGAGCTTCCAGAGTTTAATGTTTGTCTAGGACTAAAGAACAGTTTCAGACCACACACTGGGATGAACTGTAGTCAAAGAACACTTGTTGGAGGTGGAGTTCCTGATGGGGGTGCTCCTCAAAACTCAGGGCAATGGTCCAGCACCAGTTCCAGAGGCAAAACTAGCTCCAGTATCAAGTCTACCATGAACACCAAAAGTAGAGTTAACTCCAGAGCTGAAGGCAGCTTCCTAGCTAGATCCTATTTCAGTATTGCCAGATCTACCACCACCTCTACGTGGAGCTAGTTATGGTTTCAAATCAGAGTCAGACTCACCACTAAGTCTAACATTGTTTGTGGAGCTACATTTACCTACGCTACAAGATCCAGCACCAGAGCCAGATCTGGAGACACTTTCAGCAAGGTATTAATGTATTGTTAAAGCAAAGAGAGGGTGGAGGAAATTTTGTTAGTCCTTGATTTCTATGAAGGACCTTGAAATGATTCCTGAAGTCTAAATATCTTACAGGACTTCCTCATCCAAATAGTAATCCCAACCACAGATTGTTTTTTTTAAATAAACAGACCCAGAATAATAATATTTATAAACATTAACACATCTTCATTTGAATAATGAATAGATGATATTCATTTATAACCAGATATTGAAGAAATGGAACTGGAAATGTATCAAATGGATTTGGGATATATATATATATATATTTTTTTTTTTTTTTTGAGGGGGGAGACCAGTCTCCAACTAAGGACTTGTGTTTGTGAGGCAGGCAGTGGCAGCATTGAGCTAAATTCCCAGCCCTTGGGGTATATTTTGTAAAAAGTTCCGTGGAAAGCTTGTATGAAATGTTTATTTTATTGTATTGTGAGAATCTTGCACCAATGGAATACTAAAATGACAGCTTCTGGACAAGAGACAGACTCATATCCACTATATTCTGTTCCCCTGGATCCACTGTTCACAATGAAACATAATTTTCCTCATTATTTTTAGCCAGAGAATGAAGGTATTAGAGTGTTTCTGTTGTTTTTGATGTATCATGGGATTTGGAAACAAGATGCTTGGATTGTCAAGTCAATAATCACCTGCTTTATGACCAACTCTGAATTACATTTTCTACAAAGTAAACTGAGAAGACAAAAAGCTTTGTGAATCCCCAAGACTCTAATGGCTGCTCCATGGTTATCATTATTCCTCCAAGGGTAAATTCTCCAATGGCTTCCTGAACAAGTAGTTCTACCCTCAAAGGAGCCCAGCAAAGAACCAAATACTGTGTGTTTGTTGCTAATTTTGAGTTGGGGGATGAGAGATTGCTCCTCAGGTCTTTTCTGTGGTTTGCAAAATTAGAACTCACATCAGTTTCTTAGGACCTGTGAGCTGATGTACATCACTGTATCTACTGGGTGTGATTCTGAACTGGTAGCTCTTCTGCAAGCTGCAAGGAAACTTTGAGCCCATGGAGACTCTGCCTGTTTCTCTGCACTCCTTGTCTTCTAGAGAGAAATTGGAAAGTTTCCTCTGCTTTGTCTCTGAAGGTATCTGTGGTCATTGCTTAAGGGTTCATATCAGAGTAGGAGCAGAATTAACATTTCATAGTATGATTGACTATGGATGTGTCCGTCCAGTGTATGCTGCTGATCCCTAAATACTACCTCACTCACAGCACAGTATGAAGAAAAGCTCTGGGTAGAATAATTCATCTTGTGCTGAGTATGTAACTTTTGGAATGATAAGGCAAAGCAATTCTTTTAGAATAATCTATCTGAGACTGAAAATACATTTAGTATTAAAGAAGACATTGGAAAAACATATCTGCTTTTGCATATCTTTAACTCTGGTAAATATTGTTGAGTTTTCTTGCAAATTTCACATCAAATCTCTGTAATTTTATTTCTCTCTGTTGCCACAATCCAGCTATAAGCAGGTGGCTTTTTTTAACCTAATGTATATTATCCTTTTATTCAGATACCTTATGATTCTCTTCTCTTGCTATAATCTGATTTCTACCAAGGAAACAACAAGCTATTTAAAATTTTTACTCCTTTCTTTTCTTAAATCTTCTCTGCAGTATACTACTTGTCTAGAATAGAGTTTAAATTTTTTTTACAGCCCCAAAGGCCTTATATCCTCTGTTTTCTTTATAATTCTCTCCAAATATTCCCAGGATATCCATGGTCTTGAGCTGTCTCTGTTGCTCAGATGCCATAGCCTGGTATATCCCAACACTTCACTAAGGCATCCATATTTATATTCTTCCAGTGAGAGGTTCTTCATTTAGGAGTCCCTTAAATAAGACATATAAATGAGCTTCCTTATAACCTTAGCCTCTTTTAATTTGACAATCTATCAAAATCAATTTCTCTCAAATTGAATTTCTAGGAATTTATTATGTGAAAAATGACATGAGAAATTATATTTATTGCTATATTGCTGGAAATGGCAAAATATTAAAATATCTACTTGTGCAACATCCAGCTAATTATCATTTTCACTGTGATAAACCAATAGATATTAACATAGAAATGAGTAACATGACTATGTACATAACACATCTCATATAATATGACAGTGAAAGGATTTTTAGTATAATGGGATTTAAAATGTAGGAAATATAAGATAATATCAATCAAGTTGAGATAATTGGCCTGATATGTAAACTTCATTTACCGCCACAATGAATGATGAGTCAGAGTGTGCCATGTCTTCAGCTCTCAAATGCAAAAAATAAGTCAAATGCAAGTTGCATAAGTCTTTATATACACTATGAATTTCATTTTTTTCAGATAGACCATCATGGTCTCTTTACTATTGTTTTGTGTTCGCTCAAATGAATAAATCTATTACAAACTGGTTTGGAGGAGAAAGAGATTAGAAAAGTATTAACAATGTTAGAATAGGGAAAATGAAAGAAATAAAAAAAATATATGAGAAAAGG